CTCTTCGACGGCGGCATTACACGAATCTCCGACTTATTCTGTAACGAAAAGAAATGAAAGATTCGAATTCCATTTTCATCAAGCGAGCAAGTAACTATTAATAGCGTTGATTTATGTATAATTTAATACATCTATGGAGACAACTTGAAGAAATATAACAAATTTATCTTGAACTATCATTTAATTTCCAGATATTGTACCAGATATGCTTAACAAAGGTTTTATCAAATAAATATCTGAACATTGAACAGTAGAATTAACATAAAAATAAAAAATAAATAGACAGTGGGAGAAACTCTGTGCTTATAATAAGTCTTACTTCGTTTATAATACATACATACATTCGAAGTTTGAATACATTAGCATGCTAATTTGTGTAAATTGTATAAAACATGAGACAAAGATGGTAAAAACAGCAGCGTTTGTTTGTTTGTTTTTGAATTTTGCGCAAAGCTACACGAGGGCTATCTGCGCTAGCCGTCCCTAATTTAGCAGTGTAAGACTAGAGGGAAGGCAGTTAGTCATCACCACCCACCGCCAACTCTTGGGCCACTCTTTTACCAACGAATAGTGGGATTGACCGTCACATTATAACGCCCCCCACGGCTGAAAGGGCGAGCATGTTTGGTGTGACGGGGATTCCAACCCGCGACCCGCAGATTGCGAGTTGAGTGCCCTAACCACATGGCCATGCCGGGCCAGCAGCGTTTGTTCAATTGTTGTTGTGTGTTTTTTTTGTTTTTTTGTGCGTGATGTGCTAGGCCTTGTTTAAATTTCTTACTGCAATTTTGTAGAAACGAAATAAAATTGGATAAGAGTAAACTGATTTAATAAAACACATTGTTGGAAGAAAAGTTATGACATTAAGGAGTCCAAAAAATAATAATTAAGAATAAAAACACTTTATTAAAAATCAAACCTTCTATCTAATAGTAATTCTTTATTATTAAGCAAAAAAAAAACTGGCAGTAAAGGTAAAGTAAACATAACAGAAATAAACTTTATTAAGCATGATAATATAAAATTGAAAAATAGTTTTGAAAGGAAACTTATACAAAAAGCAACTTTTTTTCTAAGATAATAATCAAATGCAGATGCTTGTTTGTTTGTTTG